ATCCAAAAACGCCCTAATGAACCGGACCCGGGGAACGATTAATAAGGGATTTGGAGTGTACAGATCAGGGCTCCGCCCACTCTGGGGAGATGCGCAACACCCCCGAACTGCTCGGAGCACATACTGCCCACTTGGAGGCCAGGCTGGCACACACTGGCGAGCCCCCGAGCCTCTGCCCGTTCAGCAAGCAGTGAATTGGTCCGAGTGGGGGGAGGCAGCTCAGGCGGGGAGGGAACATGGGCTTAGGTCGGGCATGCCCCCCCACAGGCGGCAGCTGGACGAACAATAGAACATCGTCAACCAAACTTTCCAAAACGGTCCAAAAATAATGTTTGGAACCATCGTCCCCAGCCTACTGTTTTACTGTGTTCGAATCTTCCTCCTGCAGAGGGGCACGCCCGACTTAAGCAGCCTGGGATCGGCGAGACGTCGCCGATGGATCGGCGAGGAGGCCCCCGATGGCCACGTCCGCGCGCTCCTGGGCGGGGTGGCCGGTGGGCTCCGTCTCCGATGGGGCATTCCTCGGAACGCTCTCGGCGAGGCGCAACGGGACGCAGCAGGTCAGGTGCGAAACGACTTGGGGTTAGGTCGGGCGTGACCCCCCTACAGGGTTAAAACAAGAGCTCACAGAGTACCCAAAGCATCGTGCCCAGGCTGTCTTGATGACTATGCTTGAGTATTCCTCCTGTAGAGAGACATGCCCGACTGAAACTTTAGGGTCGTGGGGAAAAGTGGCTGCGCGCAAGCCGTCAGGCTCGGCGGTGGACAAGCATCCCTTTAGTAAACCACCCTTTAGTGAAAACGGCCGAGGACCGAAACCGACGGACCTGGATCCGCAACGGCCGACGAAAAATGACGGCCGCGACGCCCTCTCGCGAACCGAAAACGGCCAATTCCTTGATCGACGTGTCAGGGTAGGAGGTCTATCCACCTCCGATGAAACTTTAGGGTCGTGGGGACAGGTGGCTCCGCGCCAGCCGTCAGGCAGTGTAAGCAGAGGAGCCCGAAGGGGGGGCAGGGTCACGACGGCGCGGGCGGGGCGGGCCGTGCCGGGGCAGTGCTGGGGCAAGAGGCCGACGAGGCGGCAGCAGAGGAGGGGGGGGGGGGCCGGTCGGGGCGAGGGAGAAGGAGAAGCGGTCAGGGCCAGCGGCGCGCCCCGCGGCGTGGCCCGGCAGGGCCCCCCCCCCCCGGGGGAGCGCGCACGCCGCCGCGCGGCGCGCGGCGCGCCTGCTCCGCCGCCGCGCCGCGCTCGCTCGTGGCGGCCTGTTGCGCGCCCGGGGGCGGCGGAGGGGAGAGCCAGGAGGAAGCCACGGACGAGGACCGGCCGTCCTGGCATTGCTGTGGGCCTACCAGGACATGCTCTTAGAGCACAACAAACATGTTCCAAGCACGACAGCGCTTGTCTTAGAACACAAGCCCGAGGCGTTGAAACAAGACGACATCGGCCAGAAATGTTCTAAGAACAGGTCGTAGAAGCCACAAAAGGTTCTTAGATCATTGTTTGGTGGGCCGATAAGCACGCCAGGACGCTTCGCCACTGCTTGAACCATTAGGTCGGGCATGCCCCCCTACAGGGGGATTTTGGACGAAAAGAAAAAATCCCCAAAATGCTCCAACATGGTCACAAGTACTCAAAAAATCGTCCCCCTATTATGTTTTCACTGTGTTTGAATATTCCTCCTGTGGACAGTGGAGGGACAGGCCCGACTTAAGGATAGCACCATGTGAGCCACGCTGGCCCAAAGGGGGTCCAGCGAAAAGGGGGTGTGGTGTTGGAACCGGGAACCCGGGAACCCAGCCTGCTACCAAAATCATCGGCGGGAAACGTTCGCCAAATCTTTCAACTTCAGCTAGGACCCCTTCAGTGAAAGCACTGATTGGGGAACACATGTATATATATATATATATACATACATATATACATATATACGGCAGGTTCGCGTCGTGTCGACCCCAGCGTTGGTTTCTGACACCGCGGGGATCGTTCAACCTTGAACGATCGGCCGTTTGCGAAACGTCCAAATCGTTCCACATCGAAAGATTCTGGGTCGCCCGCGGCGTTCAAGGTTGAACGCCGCTGGCGGGGTCGCCGCCGGTCGACACGACACGAACCTACCGTGTATATATATATATAGACACACATGTAAATGCACAAACCGCCGTGACTTTTGGTGGGCACGACGCGAACAAGTCTGGGAACGTCTCCCCGCAGCACTCTCCCCTCCCGGGTCTGTCACCATGGTCCTGGGGCCCGATAGAGGCACAGGAGGGAGCAAACTCAACGAACAACTGACGGTATGAAACAATCAGATCGTCGGGAGTCTGGGTCCCAGGACAGCCCGACCTTTTTCCCAGGGACGACTTCTCAGCCCGAGTCGTGTTTGACGGTCCCAGGGCCTGGCGAGGAACTAGAGCCCGGCAAGAACAACCGACAACGCATCTGGCGTCGTGATGTTCGTAACGACGCGAGGATGTCAAGGGCCCAGGGTTAGGTCTGCTGTGTCCCCCTACATGCGGATTTGGGGTGAAAACATTCAAAACATACCCCCAATTTGTTTTAAGAATCAAGCAATAGTCCCCAGCCTATTTTTGACTATTTTTGAATACTCCTCCGATTTAAGCCCAGGGGTGGAAAATGCCCTCCAGACCTATCCTCTGGCCAAAACTCCACTGGGATTCCAGCCGCGGCGACGAGAGGGAGCCCAAGCAGAGACGCCCAACAAGAGCCTCGGTCCTCGATGTCTGGGGCTGCCCCTCGAGCCTCAACTTCCATCGGCGACGCCGCGAAGGGTGTGGTTTGCCAAGGGTGTGGCTTGCAGCCGGCACCCTGGGGGGTGCCCAGGGGGGCGGGCGGGTACCTCGATAGAGAGTTCCCTGCCGCGCCCCGAGGAGCCCCGACGAGGACAGCATCGTGCCCCCAGGCCCCAGCGGCGCCGATCGCGAACCACACCCTAGCGCAACCACGCCCTTTGCAGTCGCCGAGCACATCCCCCTCGACGACGCGAGGCATGGCTGGAGAGGTCTCCCCAGGACGGGACCTGTGCCGCGATAAAGGGGGGGGCAGCGAGGGCTGCAGGAAAAGAGCCCTCGAGGGCACCTACAGGGGCCCTTTCGGCCCCAGAAGGGGACCTTCAGGGCCCGAGCAGAGCACCTCTCTTCCCCCCTTCATGGTGATGATAATGATGATGATGATGATGATGATGATGATGATGATGATGATGATGATGATGATGATGATGATGATGATGATGATGATGATGCTGATGCTGATGCTGATGCTGATGATGATGATGATGATGATGATGATGATGATCAACATCTTCATGATCATGATCATCATCATCTTCATCATCATCATCATCATCATCATCATCAGCAGCAGCAGCAGCAGCATCAGCATCAGCATCATCAGCATCAGCATCAGCACCGACCCCCCCCATCCACTCGCCCCCTTGGATGGGGGCCTCGCCGCCCTCCGGCTGCTCGCTCTGCTTCGCGGGCAGCCCGAGGTACTGCGGGTTGGTGACCTCCGCGCCGCCCCGCCGCCGCCCCGCCGGGCCCGAGACTCCGGGCGACCGCGCCCCTTCGGGCTGGGGCGCAGAGGGCACACCGAGGTGCTGAGCGTCCTCCTCGGGGGGCGCGCGCCCGGCCCGCGCACGGCGTAGCCTGAGCGTTTTCTCTTGGGGCGGGGGGCTCAGGGTGGGATCCACAAGGGCCGTCTGCACCTCGAAGACCAGTCCGTCTGGTGCTTCGCCTCTCGCAGGTTCAGGCCTCGGACGTCCATCGAAGCGGCGTCTCAGATTTCACCCTTTGCCCTCCGCCCACAGAAAATGCTCGGGTACAGTCGAAAACCCTAATAAGGACGCGCGGCAAGGACGCAAGACCCTTGGAAGCCGAAGTTGGGATTTTTGGGCAAGCGACAGAGGCCAAGGACGAGCCGCACGAGCAAGGAAGAGCAAGAACGTCAGGGTACCCTGAGCAAAGTCGCGCGTCCTTACTAGGGCTTTCGACTGTAGTACACACGCGACTTGCCGCAGATCGCTTCCCGAGCGGCACGGCCGGCATGAGCCCGCCACGGAGCTCGTGCTGCACACGACCTCTCGGCGCGCGCGCCGCCGCCGCGGGAGGGGACGCCCCAAGGCAGCTGCGGCATGTCGGCGTGGCGCCGATCGGGCCGCGGAAGGGGAGAACAAGAACAACAGAACACCACGGCGACCGCTCTCAACGGACCTGGGCGACCTCGACGGTGACGAGGGCGGCGAGGGCGAGGACGACGACGGTCATGGGGACTCCTCCGCTGAGGTGTGCTCGACGGGATCTTAATTCGAGGCCTTTGCCTTCGTCCTCGCCCGTGGTCGGCGAAGGCCCCTCTTTGCATGGAAGTCTGCAGCAGCTCGAGAGCTCCCTGGCCATGTGCCACTCGCAAGCAGGTCCAGGTGCCAGTCCCCGTCTGTCTCCCGCGGACGACGCTCCACGGCCCCGGGCTCTGGAGACTCCCGCCCTCCCGGACACAAATGCACCCGCGGCTGCCGCAGAAAACTGGCACCTCGTCGTGGGCGACAACGTGATGGCTGGGTTCGCCATCGCGCGGACGTCCATTCTGCTGCAGTGTTGGGCTTCGTGGATTGTCCTCGGCGACCCTCGCCGAGAAACAAGCGCACACGTCCGAGCGATGCCGACTGCAGCCGCGCCGACTTGTAGCCGCTGCCCCGCTGCCGACTCGTCGCCTTCAGGTCGGGCATGTCCTCCTACAGGCGGAGCTTGAACGACAAATTGAAAATAGTCAAAAATATTCAAAAATAATCAGAACTACTCAACAAATCGTTCCCGCATTTCTTAAAAGTATGTTTGGATTTAGTCCTCCTGTAAGTAGAAGGACAGGCCCGACTCAATCGCAGCCGCGCGTGGGCTTCGGGGTACGCGGCCGGCAGGCTCAAAGGAGAGCGCGCGGAACAGAGGCCGGGGCGACAAGGGGGCCGAACGCCGCTGCAAACCACCTGCTATCCCGCCGGCATCAGGTCGGGCATGTCCTCCTACAGGAAGATGTCCCCAGAAGATTTTTTGCCTATTTTTGAAAATTCCCCCGCGTAGAGGGACAAGCCCGACGTAACGCCAGCACGCCCAGGGCACGCCGCTGCGCGGCGACAGCCTTCTGGGGCAGGCTTCCGAATATGACAGTGGGGGTGCGCGCGCTGGTGGTGACAGGCTTCTGGAGCAGACTGGAGTTAGGTCGGGCGTGTCCTCCTACAGAGGGATTTCTGGACGAGAAGTAAAAATAACCAAAAATAACATGCAAACAATTCCCGAAAGTGCTAAAAACATCGTCCCCAGACTATTCTTTTTCTATGTTTGAATACTCCTCGTGTAGAGGGACAGGCCCGACTTCAGACTGGAGACGAGGGGCAGCATTCTGCTCGACAAGGGTCGGGATTATGTCCACCTGGGCCCTGGCTTCGTTGTCGCCCAGCAAAACACTCTCGAACGCCGCGCGCACTCGTCTCCTGACGCGTGCAACTTCCATCTCCTCTGCCTGGGCACCCTCGACCTGGTCTGGGTGAATCGCATAATTGAATATTCCGCGTGGCTGTCCACTGCAACAGGAGCTCGACCACGAGAAACCTTTCGCCAGAAACCTAACCCTGTGACCCCAGGACACCCATCGATGTTTGGCGTGGAAACCCCACGCTTACCAGAGCAACACCATCGAAGACCAAGAATCGGGGGCGGCCAAGAGGGGGGTGTCCAAGAGGGGGGGGTGCAAATCATGACTGGCAGCATGTGCGCGGCCCAAGGGGAGGGGGGGGCCAGGGACGTAATACGTAATGAAATGAGAAGAGGCGCCATGAAATCTGGGGAGATATCAGGGCCCCCGCCATGACATCCCCCCCCCCCCTAGTCATCACCCCCCGCTTTTCCGCCCCCGATCTTTGCCGCCCACGAAAGAGACCCAGGGCACCCTGGAGGCAAGCCGGGTGTCTCTTGGCACGGGCTCCCACCGCGACCCCGTTGGCCTCGGACCGCAGCCTGGGGCGCGCGCTCCCCTCTGCGGCCCCGCCGGTGGGCGGCGCGGCTCCCCCGACCTCGCGGCAGGAGACGCGGCGCCCCCCTCGGGCCACCGGAGAGATGTTCCGAAGGCCCCTGTTCGCTGTGGGACTGCCGGCGTCGGGTCTGCCGACGCCGCGCGCCGCGCCGACGCGCGCGCCGCGCGCGAGTAAGAGGAACAAACACGTGCATCCGCATACACTTCTGACTGGACGGTCCGCGCGCACTTCTTGGATCCGCGCTGGGCCCCCCTCCCTGGCGCGCGGGGCCTCCCGCGCCGATCTAGGAAATCCGCTCGGAGCATCGAACGTTCATGCTCATGCCGTTGTTTCTGCCTCGAGATTCGGTCGATGCGTAAGAGCCCGCAGACCTGACTATGGACCCCCCCCCCCGGAGCTGGTGGGCAGCTTCTTGATGGCCCCGAGGCCCGACACCGGCCTCCAAAGGTCGGCAGTGGCGACAGACCGGCCGCGCCTTGCCCTGTTCGAGGCGCGGGTTGTCTACAGCGGGGCGCACGAGGACACACCATGACTCATGGGCCCTGCTCGGAGGCGTGCGTCCTGTCCGCACATGTCGCACAACCATCTGGTCGCACATCCCTTCCCGAGCTGTACCGCACGGCCAGGGAGCGCCCACCACGGAGCACGTACCACACGACTTCCGAGCGCGCGCATCGCCCATAGCATTACATTCATGTTTGGGCGACGCCGGTCGAGACCCTGGTCCAGAGCCGATGATCCTCAGACCGCGTGCTAGCGCCAGCGTGTGCTTGCCCACTGAGGCCCTCCACCACGGCGAAGGCACCGTGATCATCGACGGGTTGGGCTGAACGGGGAGAGCACACGCTGGGCTCACACGCGTCCCGAGGATGATCGTCGACAGAACCGAGCCCTGGACCGCAGAACTTCGATCGGGAATGGACAGACCCCCCTTTAGTAAAACGTGGTTTAGTGAAAACGACCTCAGGCCCAAACCTGGCGGGCGCAAGCCTGGAAAATAACAGCCACGGCGCCCTCTCGAGAACCGAAAACGGACAATTCACTAATCGACGTGTCACTGTTGGGGGTTCTGTCCACCCCGGATTCGAGGCGAGCCCAGACGCGGCGACGACAGGAGCCTTGCCGGAAGCGCGACCGCAGACGTGCCTTTCTCGCGGCGCCCGTTGCCCGAGGCGGGGGCGCGAGAGGCGCCCGAGAGAGAGAGCCCCCCCGGTGGCGGCGACCTTGCGGCTCTGGATGCCGATGGCCCGCATGCGCCCCACGCGCTCGAGCAGCTCGTCGATCTCCGCCTTCGTCGTGTCCGCGATGCCGCTCTGGGGGGGGCGTCGGGTGCTGCTGGGATTTTTGTAGGTCGGGCACGTCCTCCGACAGGCGGACTCTGGGCAAGGAACAGAAAATAGTCAAACAAATTCTCAAGAATATTCCATACAAATTCAAAACAACGTCCCCAGACTATTTCTATACTATTTTGAACATTCCTCCTGTAGAGGGACATGCCAGACTTCATGCTGGGAGTGGTCCTGGCCCATGTGAAAGTGCCAGGGACACACACAAATAAATACATACACTAATGCCACGATTCCCAATGTTTTCTGGGGGACCGACGATGACTTGTGTCTGTGTGTTTTTCCTTCCTGACCATGGTGTCCCCAGCTTGTCGCGCCACTTCGGAGCCCCGGGGGGGCCCTGTGGGCCTCGCGAGGGGTGCTCCAGGGGTCGCCCCAGCCTCCGCGGAAGCCCGTGGGCGACACCTCTTGGGCCCGGAGCACCTCTGGCAGCAACCCGGGATGGATGCGGTCGAGTCTTGGGAGGCAACTGCTGGGAGGTCTTCGTCGGAAGGACTGGGGAGGATTAAGCCCCAGTGGGGGGCTGCTACGCCCGAAGGGGCCTCGGATTCAGCGGGGTTAGCCCAGATTAGACGGGATTAAACGGGACTGAGCCTGATTCAGCGGGATCTAGCTGGAATAAGCCGGATTCGGGTCCAGGGCACAATCCGAACTTGACCTCCCAGGAGTTTCATCCGCTCGAGCCCGTGGCTGGCGAGCACAGACCCGACGCCCTCGTGTCGCGAAGTACGACGCTCTCGCAAGTCCTTCGGTGTCGTCTCGCGCGGGCGTGCCTCCCAACAGCTGCGCCTCGCCAAGGGCACTTCTGGGGTAGCCTCAGGTCGGGCATGTCCGATGTCCCCATTGCAACAGGCGGACTTTGGACGAAAAATCAAAACATACCCCAACAATGCTCCAAAAATGCCCCCAAGTGCTCCAAAAATCGCCCCCATACTATCGTTTGCCTACTTTTGAATATCCCCCCTGTAGAGGGACACGCCCGACTTCCAAGCGGCCCGGCTCGTCCCCGTCGGCCGCCGGAGGCTCGCACACGCCAGGCCTCCTCGCGTCGCGGCAGAAGCCCCGGCGGAAGGCCCGCGGGGGCCCCGGCGGAAGGCCCTAACTCGGCGGCGAGCGAGGGGTGGAAGTGAGAATGAGAACTACCAGCCCGGAGCATATCCCTATCCCTATGTTGGGCATCGCCTCATCACCATGGCGATCCTCAGTTTCTGAGGGCGTATCCCCAAGATTGTCATCTCCTTTTAGCGTGTCAATCTTAGGGATAGGGATACGTTCGAGGCTGGTGAGAGAAGGCCTTCTCAGGAGGCTCGGAAATCCCCCGGCCTTCTGAGAAGTTTTCCACGCCTTTCCCGAAGACAGAAAAAAACCTCTCTGAAGGCGCGGGGGCTTATGCGCAGTCCCGCCGCCTTCTGAGAAGGCCTTCTCCTTCTCACTCCCCCCCTCAACATTAGGTCGGGCATGTCCTCCTACCGGCAGCTTTTGGGCGAAAAAGAAAAGATAGCCCCAAGGGGCCTCCAAGAGGCACCCCAAGAAGCCCCGAGAGGCCCACAAGAGACCCCTAGAGGCCCCAACAAGGCCCCCCAAGAGGCCTCGAAACTGCCTCCCAAGGCCCCTGAGAGGCCAACCGCGAGAGCACAACCAACTTCCGTGAGGCCTCTGACCCGCCACCCACCGCTTCCGAAAAATGGCGGCCGCCCAACCGCACCACATTGACAACAACACCCCAACAAACGACAGCGGCGAGGCAATGGGCCGGCGGAATGAGCGAAGCGATTAAATATCAAAGAGACCCCAAACATATTCAAACAAAAATCAAAAATAGTCAAACAACTCGTCCCCAGACTACTGTTTTACTATTTTTGAATATTCCTCCTGTAGAGGGACGTAACCCTAACATAAGCACACGCGGGACGAAGAGGTGATCCCTGGGAGTTGGGCGGGTGTTACAGTCGGACCTAGGACAGAAAAACATCCTCCAAGAGCATGAGTCCCTCCGCCAGCCTAAACACACACACACAGAACATCCAAGGTTACCCTCCCTAGAACGGACAAAAACATCCAGCAAGCACGAAAAACATTCGGGCACCCTCCTCGAATCGACCTCGGACTGGCTGTAATGGGGGGCGACCTAATTAAATGGGAGGTGAAGGAAGGAGCCCATTTAGGTCACCCCCACGTCACACCCGCCGAGGGAATGGGTCGAGGCCTCCAGGGAGCCACGTTGAACCACAGCACGTCTTCTTCTGAATTGGGAGGCATCTCTTGGGAAGCATCGCGGGAGCGATTGCATACGACTGGTGCCACAAGCTGCTCAGAGAGCTACAGGACGAAGACAGAATGCGGACAAGGTCGGAGGAGGGTAAACCAGGCGTCTCTGAGAACCGGCAATTCTGGAGAATGCTTCGGGCGCCGCGGCCGTCCCAAAGCGCTCCATCACACAATGAAAATATTACGCCGGCCTGCCACACATCATCTGCAGCCGGACCTCATCCCCCTCCCGTCTCCTCCAACTTCGTCTTCTCCGCCACGCCATCCCCGCCGCGCCTCCTCCTCTTCTGTCGGCGGTGGACAATACTCCCTTTAGTAAACCTCCCCTTAGTGAAAACGGCCTAGGACCGAAACCGACGGACCTGGACCCGAAAAATAAACGCCGTGACGCTCTCTCGCGAACGGAAAACGGCCAATTCACTAACCGACGTGTCAGGATAGGAGGCCTATCAACCTCCGATTCTGAAGACTGGGCGCAGGACAGCCTGAGAAGGAACAGGCCAGGGCACGGACCGCCGCCGCTGCCGTCGTCGCTGCCGTCGCCGTACGTGGTCAGTAGTCGGCGCCGTCGTCGTCGACAAACGTCGATCGTCGCAGTTACATCGTCGTACCGTCGCTGCCGTCGTCGTCGCCGCAGTCGACGAACGTCAACGTCGTCTTACGTCACCGCCGTCGCCGTCGCGGCAATCATCGGCGTGGTCGCACGTCGCGCATCGGTGCGCGAAAGCGCCCAGGCGACGGTGCGCATCGCCCCATGTTGGAGCGCCCCTGGGCCTCGCAACGGATGCTCTGGACAGCAGAGGGAAGCCCCCGATCCTAGGGACACAAAGACACCTTCCTCGACATTCAGCGTCGCGATTTTGTTCGCAGCGTGGCTCCCCAGAGGTCTGGGCCCCTTCTGTGGGGCCAGCTTGTCATCCCGAGTCGTCTTCTAACGACCCCAGGGCGCGCTGAGGGCCCTTGTGGGCCGGAAACGGCCAAGAACTTCACGCCGTGATTGTTTCACGACGCGAAGATGTCTGGCTTTGGGTCCACAGCTCGGGCATCAGCCCGCCGCTAGGGACGACTCTGGGCTCCCAAGGAACGCTTCCGACGAGGCGGAGCTGACACAGACCCACCCAAGGCCCGACAACCTTCCGAGAACCCTCCGAGAACCCTCCGAAGCCAAGACCCAAGACCCAAGAACCCGCCGAGAAGCCAACCGCCAAGCCGAGACCCCAGACCCAAGAACCCTTCGAGAACCTCGGAGGCCAAGACCCAGGTCAAGACCCCAAAGACCCGAGGACCCAAGAACCCTCCGAGAACCTCAGAAGCCATCCCATCGTGCGGTCTGGGGAGGATCGCGCCGCATCGCTGATACATCGGCGACGTCGGCGATGCACTGGCGACGTCGGCGCGAGTAAAACTGGGTTCCACATCGAGCCACATCGCCGATGTATCGGCGATGCGGCGCAATCCTCCGACCCCGTCCACTCGGACCTGATCTGGGAGGCTCGGAAGGGAGCTCGGCTACAGGCAGCCGTGACCCCAGCTAAGAGCTGCGGGGCTGGGACTTCTACAGTTAGGTCGGGCATGTCCTCCTACAGGCGGATCTTGGAGGAAAAAAGTCGTCAAACAGTGCCACAAATTGCCAAACATAGTAGAAAAATCGTCCCCAAACTATTTTGTGACTGCTTTCGAATATTCCTCCTGTAGAGGGACGTGCCCGACGTACTTCTCCATGTTCCACCGCCTGGGCGACCAACCCCCCTGGGAAGCGTTGGATACGAATGCATGTGAGCCCCAGGGGGGGGCCGAGCGCATCCACGTCCACCGCCTCCCGAGTTCCTGAAAGGTCGGTGTCCAAGACGGTGGACACGGGCAAACCCCAGCCTCGGATCCACTCGGGCCCCATCTGAGAGGTCTGGAGGCCATCTTGGGCCACCTTGAGGACCCTTGGGAGCATCCGGAGGCCTCCCTGGGCAATTTCGGGACCGCCTCGACGGCCTTCTGGCGTCCTGGGGCGAGCATGCCGGTCTTGGAGCGTTGCTGTTTCTCTCTCTTTTTTATGTGAGGGGGAAGGCACGCGCCCGCCAAAGCTTGACGCGTCGGCTGTGCACGACCGCAGTGCGAATCGGAGTCTCCAGGCAAATCCAGATCGGTACACACACTGACCTGCTCCAGGCAAACTCGCGCAAAGAACTCCGGCCTGGGAGAAACAGATGCCCCACCAACGAAGCAACACCAAGAGCCACCCGTGACAATTCATGCCCATACTGCCTGGGCAGAGGGAGGAGGAGGAGGAGGAGGAGGAGGAGGAGAAGGAGGAGGAGGCGGAGGACGACGAACACGAAAGCGAGGAGAACGAGGGGAGATCGTCGGCAGCGTGGTTGCCAACACCAAATCGGCGATGTGTTCGGCTGCTTTGGCTGTCTTGGGGCGCTTCTTGCGCGGACCTCCCCTGAGAACCGAAGGCGCGGAACAGCTTCGACAGCGCAGAATAGAACGGCCGGAGCCCAAGGCCCAACTCTTCTGCTGCACTTCTCGAGCCGGACCGATCTGCGAGGGCCCTGGGGGCCGAAACCGAGCGAAGACGCCCGGCTGAACAGATTGCAACGCCCGGGTCTCGTGCGTCGAGTGCTGGGGGGACGAGAAAAATGGGGGGCTGAGGAGAGGTGCACCCTTTGTGCCCCAAAAGGGTCCTAAAGGGGCCCCCTGGGCCCCTGGGACCCAGAAGGGGCACGAAGGCACGAAAGGTGCACGCTTCTCCCCCTTCCCTTTTCCCCGACCTTCAGGAGGGCTTGCAGATATCACCAGGACCTTGACGCCTCACTTCCTGCCGAGAAGTGAGGCAGCCCGGACAAGTCTACAGGTCTGGAGCGCCTTCGTTTAGCACCCCAGGCGGTCAGGGCGACCGCCCTCCCCGACCAGCCATAACTGGGGGAGCTGTGGTCCTTACCCCCCTGGGAGGCCCCATCGCATCGACGACCTCTCGAGAGGGGCGTCGAAATCGATGGGCCCCCCAGGGGGGTAAGGAATGCAGCTCCCCCAGTTGTGGCTGGCCTGCCTCCATCGCTTCACGCCCGAGGCCCCTCCCGGTCGGGCACCACCCGGGCGGAGGGCGGCGGCGACGCGCCCGGATCTCCGCGACCAGGGCGAACTGGCGGGGGGCGCGGCGGGGCGGGCGGCCGCTCTTGCCGCGGGGGCGGCCACCCCCCTCCCGTCGGGTGCAGGTCGCACGCTCGCACGCCACCGGCGGCCCGTGTCCAAAGTTCGGTCGGGCATGTCCCCCGACCTGAAGATGTTTTTTTGTTTTTTCTGTTGTGTTGTTGTTGTTGTTTCCCTATTGCTCTCTCAAATAGAAAGCGAGAAAAATCAGAAATACACAAAAAACATCGCTTCCAGACTACTTGTTTGACCATTTTGGACTGTCCCTCCTGCAGAGGGACAAGCCCGACTTCAATCTAAAATGCACTTCTCGCCGTCGCACCGCACCGTTGCACCGCGCATATCCCCAACCGCTGCACGGAGGGGGGGGGCTCCGACTTACAATGCGAGCGACCAGAAGAAACGGGTCTGACGCGCGATGGCATGACGACCTTACGTGGTGGCTTACGCGAGCCGCAAGCACGGCACGTCATCTTAGTAACGAGGGCGTTTACGCGCGACCTTGCGCGGGACCTTTACTGGCCACTGTCGGTGAACACGACCCAGCTTTTGCGGCACAGCTCATGTGGCTCTCGCCTCTGGGCCGCCGCGCGCATGTGTCTCAAAGTGCTCAAGAGCTGCACGGATGGAAGGCAGCTCTTTTTCAACACCTGGCTTCCGAATGAAACTTGAGGTGCCCAACACAAGCACGGATGACCGCCTCAATGCTGCAAGAGTTTCAACGTCTGCCCGTTGCGTCTTACATACGATGTCCCTGACGCGTGGCGCTTCGAACCGACATGATAATGTATACAATTCGCTTGCCAAAACAAGACAGGCTCTGGCTATAATGTTCCTCATAGATTGCGACCATGAAAATAACACGCTCCAGCTCAACATCGGAATCTCGCCCTGCCACGGCGAGCGTTTCTCCAGCTTCCGCCAGCTGCACGGACGGGGGGCGCTTCCCGTTCAAGCTTTGTGAGCTATCCAAAACTATGCTAACGTATACTGGTGTGATCGCTGAAGCACGCTTCCGAACAACTACCCCTCTCACCACACAGGCCATTGCGTCCCGTCGCCTTCCCAACGGATGCTCGCCTCACTGACAATAACCACACGGATGAAACCACGCGGAAACGGGGCTATAGGAATACGGAGGGCGGAGTGCAGCAGCAGCAGTGGTGTTTGCTGGACTGCGTGCAGCCATCGTGCGGCTATGAAGAACGCTGATCGTGAAACGAAGCCCTCTTTGACCCTTGAAACGACCTGGTGCACGAGCAATGCTAGAGGAACAACGTTGGAAGGATCTAGTGAACGGCGAACCCCATCCGAACTCGAACTGTTTTTTGTTGCAGCAACTTGACTGCATGGTCCATGCCATCCCTCCTTATGCCCACTGTCATCGGGAGAGGATGAAGGGAGAGAAAGGAATACGAGACGAGCGCGGCAGGGGACGACCAGGGGAGAGGAGGAAGGCGAGGCGCACACCACGCCCCTGGCAAAACGCTGCGCCAGAAGTCACTACTGTCACAAGTACGACCGCTTCGCTCATAATGCACCTCAGGCCCGAGAGAGAGGGAGAGAGAGAGAGAGAGAACCACCACTGCGGACAGCTGTCCGGGCCTGCTCGGGACCTGGTGGAGGAGGCCGTAGCCTCTTCAAATCTGCACGTATGGACTACACGCGATCATGCATATGGACACCGAGACAATAAACAAACAAATCTGCGACAGAGGAGGGGAGGAGGGAAGTCCTGGATGCGGATGTCGGCGTAGTGTCGTTGCGTGGGGTGTGCGTGTTGCCGTTCGAGTGTAGACCAGGTGGTGTCTTGGGCCGTGCGAATCCAGGTGACATCGTTGGGTTGGCCTTTTGTAGTCGGTGTGGGCGTTGGGTGCTGGTCGGGGTTGTTTTGTTGGAAGAACTTGACGAAGTCGTCTTCCCAGAGTTTTCGCTGGCCGCCTTGCTGTCGTTGTCCGCGTTGGCGTGGGTTCTCTCCTGGTTGCCAGTGGGGTGCGCGCCACGTCCACCTGGTGGGGTCATGGTTAGCAACACTCGACGCCATACGCCACGACTTCTATCTGCGAACCGTCTCCCAATTTGCGACTTGGTGGTGCTGCATGAGCTGCTCTGCACTCCGTGTTGCTCGCTGTGTATACTCGACCCAGGGCTCTAGCGTGTCCTCGTTGTCGTCGTCATTGTCGTTGCTATCGCTGTGTGGGTCTGCTGCGTCTTGTTGTGCTGCGTGGCTGTCTGCGTCGTCGCTACTGTCGGTTGCATTGGGGTCGTCGCCGGGTGCTTCATTGGTCGTGCCGTCGTCCGTGCCGCTGTGGCTATTGTGAGGGATTGTGCTGCAAATCGTGCGTCGCCGTGTCGTTCTGATGATCATGCGGAGCATGCGTCGTTGCGTTCGTCGCAGGTGTTGCCGGAGGGTCTCCGTAAGCGTCCAGGTCTCCGCTCCGTAGAGCGCCGTCGGTGTCACTGTGCTGTTGAAAAGCCGAAGCCTGTGCGCTAGCGGGTAGCGCTTGCTGGTCAGCTCCTGTTTGTGTGAAGCGAATGATGCCCATGCGGCTCTCGTGCGGTGGTGGATATCTGTCTCCGTCGCGTCGTGGAAGCTGATGAGTTGGCCGAGGTATTTGATGCTGCCCTCGTGTGGCAAGATGTCGATGTCCATGCCCTCAACGCGCGCCGTGCGCGAGCTCGCCCTGCCGGTCCGTCTCGTTTGGTTGCTCAGTATATTGGTCTTGGAAGGGTGCAGTTCGAGTCTGTGCGGTTGCGCCGTGCGCACAATATCTTCGAGCATCGATGTGAGGCGCGGGAGGGTCTGGCTGGTTAAGAGCACGTCGTCGGCGAAGCGAAGGTTGGTGAGTGTGGTGGCGGCGGTTCGCCCCAGCTGAACGCCCTTGCCCTTCTTTTGCCATTCGGTGATCAGCGGTTCTAGAATGTGTTGTAGAAGAGCGTTAAAGAGGAGGGAACTGAGCGGGTCCCCTTGTTTCGTGCCCCGTAAAAAACTGAAAGGCCGGCTGGTTACATCCGTTTTGATTGTGGCTCCCTGTCCCTCGTACAACTGCTGGACAAGAGATATGTATCCTGGCTGGACACCTTGCGCCTTGAGCGCTGCCCATATGCTCTCGTGTTGGACCGTGTCAGGCCCGAGGATTTACACAAGGCGACTGCAGCCGCTCGCACCGAGGCAACCTGGAAGCCACGCGGCAGCAAACAGAGCCGAAGGGCAAACACGCCTGAGCTGACGTGTCCTTCGCTGCCCAGCTGCAAACTTGTTGGATCAATCGTTACGCGGATCTAGCACCAGACACCCGGATAAGCGTCAACTTGTTGAGGTCCACGCGGATTTCGTGGTTTAGCGCTGGACTCCCTAGGGGGCCAGACGCGCGGAACATGGCAGGGTGCAACGCAGAAAGCGCCGCCACGGAGGGGGTGCACCGCCGATCCAAGGGAACCCGCGCGGTCCCCCGACACGCTGGTGGTTACAAGGTTTTATGTTTCAAGGGCCGCACTTTTCGATTCATGGGATGCCCATGTCCGCCGACCGTGGACCTCTATTGGTGGGAACTGCCAGTCGGAAAACGTGCAGTTGCCGAGAGTCAGTCAGGCTTACGACTGCGCGCACAGGGCAGGAAAGGAGCCGCACCATTACTATGCCCCCTCTGCCTCGTCTTTGCCCTATTTTCAGGACTAGGGATGTTATACACATGCATACCCACTGGGTGGGGAAACTGTCTCCCAATACCCCAAAAGGCTGGGGATATGGATATGTTTGGGCCCCAACGGCACAGAACATACCTATAATCCGCCGACCCCAGAGGCGTGTGATAATCAACTGCTCAGCTGTTGACATCCTCCGACACACCGTCTGGGGGCCAACCTAGGTCCATGACGACCCCCCCCCACAATCCTTTTAACAAAAACAATGCAAAACACACTCTGCCTCAAAATTCGGAACATGCGCAGCCAACCCGATGCGCCCCCCCCCACCATCCCTGTCAAAAAACCATACAAAGTACACTTGGCAGAGGCGGCGGCGACTGCGGCGGCGGCTGCGGCGGCGACTGCGGCGGCGGCGGCGGCTGCGGCGGCTGCGGCGGCGGCGGCGGCGGCGGCGGTGGCGGCGGTGGCGGCGGCGGCGGTAGCGGTAGCGGCAGCGGCTGCGGCTGCGGCGGCGGCGGTGGCGGCGGATTGGCCCCCAGTAGCTACCCATCCAAAAGACGACTGCTGAATATGCTGAGGCTCGGGCCAGACTCGGGTGCTACGTATGTGTTGGGAGGGCGGGTGGGAGTGAGCGAGACGGCTTGCGGGCGGGGGGGGGTCTTAACCCCTCCACCATACCCCCTCCCCTGGACCTCGACGGGGGGTTCCGCGACGCGTTGGATCGTCCGAAACGGCCTCGGCGAGGAAGCCACAATCATTGGTTAGACGAGGTTTTGGGCCCCATTTTGGCCTCCTGAAAAGGGGGGATGCTAATTTCGCCCCCCCCCTCCCCCCCCCCCCTCCTGTGATCGATCTCCTCCAAAATGGCCCCAAGAGGCGCCCAGGAGGCCCCAAGAGGCCCCGATATGGCCCCAAGATAGCCCCATGTGGCCCCGATAAACCCCCATAAACGCTCCCCACCCACGACGCTCCAAGAGGCCTCGGCGAGACTGCCAAAACCAAATCGCTGATTTTACGTGGGTTTTGGCCACATTTGGGCCTTCTGGGGGGGGCATTGCTTCAGATGACTCCAAGAGCGCCTGGGAGAGCCCAAGATGACCTCCAAGATGGCTCAAGATATCCCAAAATGCTTCAAGATGGCCCCCACGATGCTCCAAGAAGCCCCAAGACCGCTTCAAGACGGCTCCAAGTGGCCAAAGTGCTCCCCCAGGAGGCCCCGAAGAGGCCAAAATTCCAAAACCTCAGGGAAATCAATGGTTTGGGCCGTCTCGCCTTTCCGATTCCGATGGCCATCCGAGGCTGCACGATGACTCCAAGATGGCCCAAGAGGGCTCCAAGAGCGCTCCCAAGGCTCCGAAGAGCGCTTCAAGAGGGTCGCCCCAAGAGACGCCGAGGAGGCCCCAGGAGGCCCCAACAGGCGCCCAAGAGGCATCCAAGAGGCCCCCAAGAGACCCCGAAGAGGCCCCAAGAAGCTCCCCGAGGCAACCAAGACGCTCTAAGAGGCGCCCGGGACCGCCAAGAGGCCCCCAAGACTCTCCAAGAGGCCTCCACTGGGGGACCCTTCCTCTGTGTGCTGCCCACTTCCCTGATCGAGGCACTTCCTCTGGGCATCGTTTCTGGATGGGCTGGTGGGGTTACTTTTTGATTCGCGGCCCGCAAGGAAAAGTCCAGAGGGCGGTGTGAACGAGGCTGGGGCACAGCGCACGGGAAGGCAGATAATTAACGGCGCAGCACAAGTGCCGGCCGAGAAGGCAACCGCGAAGGCTGGTGGGGTTACGCGAAGCGTCTAGAATTTCCCCCCTAGGCCGGAATGCGACGTCCATCGTGCGACTCTTCAAAACCAACCGCTCTACCCGTCAACCCACTCCATGGCAGTCTCTGGGGTACAATCCCGTCTGGACGCCAACCACTCTTGTCACCAACGCTTCCAACATCCCAATTATGTGGGGCTGGCTGAAACCAACATCGAACCACGATTTCCTTGCCTTGTCTGGGGTCGGCGGCAGAAGCTGCAACCTTCAGATATTATCAACCAGCTGATATCCATGATCGTCTTGCTCAGGTGATGTAACAAAAATTCCCTCGCCTGGTCACCAACATTTGAATCGTCCGTGTCCTAACGATGGTGGTGCTGATACCACTCCTCATCGTCCTCGCACCTAGTCACGTGTGACCGCCCCAAATCATCACCACCGCGCCCCCTTCCATGCAGCTCGAGGCACCTTCCAAATTGCAGACCCACTCGCTCGCTCCTTCTCGCTATATGTTCTATATGTATTACGCATAAACATTTGTGTACATGTATATGTGTATATATATGTCTATATCGCTCTCTCTTTCTCTTCCCAAGTATGTTTGTGCACACCTGTGTATATATGTGTATATATACACATACACACATGGTCGCGACATAGCCAGGTCTCCCCCGCCCCCGCCCTCCCACTCGAGCCCTCCATCTCGACACGACTGGCGTCCCCCAGTCTCCCCCCCTCCTCCTCCTGCTTCGCCTCCTCCTCCACCCCCTGCCTGCCCCACATCTTCCTTCTCTCTCTCTCTCTCTCCTCCTCTCCTGCCCCAGTGGAAAACTCCAAGGAGGCATCCACAGAGTCTTCCGAGGCCTCCAGGGGCCGCCAGACAGAAAACCCCACCCGAGCTCTCTTCGCAGGCCCCAAGAACGAACAAACATGGATGATTAACTGGAGCTCGTCCTACTGACTACTATTCCGCATCCTCCTCTTTCTCAATATCCTCCTCCTTCCCTGTCCTTCGTCGTTGCCTCTCTCGTGGGGAGCACCCCCTCCTCCTTCTCCTCGCGCTGATGTCTCTGGCCAGGCCAGCGCGACCTCGTCTTCACACTGGGTGAGCTCCTGGAACGCATGCTGCAGCTTCTCCTCCGCGCGAGGAGGCGATGAACGAAGGACTAAGGAAGTGCCTGGGGAAGGCGGGGGAGCGAAGGGGGGGCGAGAAAAGCTGCGACACCTGTCGGAATTCCTGAGCTCTCGCGAGCTCGACCGGCGCGCGCCGACCGGGGTGTAACGATGACTCCCGCAAGAGAAGCACCCCCCAAGCTTGGGAAACAAGACGAAAACGATGCCGCAGCAGATCGCACATATTCGACTCGATGAGTCGGATCGGCGATCGAAAGGAATCGGATGGGCGGCAACATCGGCAGCAAAGGCGGGGAAAGGTTGGATCGGCGGAAATTGGCAGCCTAATATCAGGTCGGGCATGTCCCCCTGCAGGCGGATTTTGGGCGAAAAAGAAAAATCCCCCCCTCCAACATAAATAATCAAAAATGGTAAAAACAAAAAAAACATATCATCCCCAGGCTATGTGTTAATACTATGTTTGAACATTCCTTCTGTAACTGTAGAGGGACACGCCCGCCTTAAGGCTAGTATAAGGCCTCCGTTGAGAAACCGACGCGCAAAGCGGAGGCCGACGTCGAGCGGAATCAGGGTCGGAATCGGCAGCGAGATCGAAAGGCACCGAGGCGGAGGAGCCGAACGGAGCCCTGCACCACCACGTCCCTCTCTCGGTGTGCGTTCTGACTAAGATCTCGACGCAGGAAGAGCGGTGCAGATATCTTGTCCTACTCTTAGGTTGGGCGTGTCCTCCTACAGGCGGGTGTTGGACGAACAATAGAAAAGACACCAAACTAATATCCAAAGATGCTCAAAAATAAGCACGGCATCGTCCCCCGACTATTGTTTGGCTATGTTTGAATATTCCTCATGTACAGGGACGTGCCCGACTTAATCCTACTCTGACAGGCGCCTCCTGGCGCCAAGTCCCCGCGCACCTTCTCGCTTGGACCCAGGCGCGGCCCAGTATTCACATAGGGGCGCCACCAGATAGCCATGTAGGCCCAAGGAGTCTCCAGGACGGCCCCAGGAGGCCCCGAAGTCAAAATCCCAGGACGGCCGAGGATGGCCCCAAAACGCTTCTCAGACGAACGGGGAGGGCGCCGATACGCCCCCGAAAGAGCAAATAACACTGGAAGGCTATGTAACGTCCAATGTTGTTCGCCTTTCCCATGTTCTGCTACATCGATGTCCTAAAATCGCTTCAAGAGGGCCCCCAGCTCTCGAAATCGCCACCCAAAAACAGCCCCAAGGTGATCCCCCAAATATCCAAAGATGCCGCCCAACTCATCCAAGATGGCCCTTCAAGAAAATTCGATTACCCCAAGAAGGACCACAGATGCCGTTCATATCACCCATCGATGGTCCCCAGAGGCCTCAAGATGCTCCCATGAGTCCCCAAGATGGGGCCCGAAATTCTCACACGTGATCACAAGATGGCGCAGCCCGGGATCCGACGTCCGAGGGTGCAGCCCTTCGAGACATCGCGGGCAGCATGAACATGTGAGGGCACACGAGCGACTGGGGACCTCACTCTGCGCGACGCGGGAATAGCTTCGCGCTCCCGCGCCGCCCCCAAGGGAGGCGGAGGGGAAGGAGGAGGAGGAGGAGGCGGAGGAGGAGGAGGAGGAGGAGGAGAAGGGAGGAGGAGGAGGAGGAGGAGAAAGGAGGAAGAGGAGGAGGAGGAGGAGGAGGAGACGAGGAGGAGGACGAGGAGGAGGAGGAGGAGGAGGAGGAGGAGGAGGAGGAGCGAAACCGCGAAGCACGAATGCCTTCGCGCCCTCGAAGATGCCCTTGGAGACTGTCGGAGGTGCGCACCTATAGCCCTCGGAACCGCGCAGGGCCGCCTCGGGGCGCGCCTCGGGCGCGCAGGGGGGGGCGCGTAGGGGCGCCGCCAGGGGCGCCCAGCGCGGATCCGAGAAGAAGGGCGCCTAACATGACTACCTACCAGACCACCCCAACCCAACCCGAAGACCCGAATTTCGGGTTGGGGGGGGTAAGGGTTCCACACGTGTTTTTTCGATGTTTCCCGACACCCCCCCTACTGGAAATCGAGGGTAAATCTGAGCCTTCGGGTTGGGTTGGGGTGGTTTGGTGGGTGGTGATAATATGAGGTCGAGCCTGTCCCCCTACAGGCGGATTTTGGGTGACTGATTAAAACAATTCCCCCACAAAGCCACCAAATAATGAAACAATGCTAGACAAATCGTCCCCTCACTATTTTTTTACTATTGCTGGATGTTCCTTCTGTAGAGGGACAGGCCCGACTTAAGCCTAACTTCGCACTTCGCGGCTGCGCGAATAACTTCGCGAATAACTTAACTTCGGCTTCGTGCGCCTTCCTTTGTGCTCGATGATCCGGGGTGTGCACGGCTTCCCTCGGGCCGTAGGCGATCCAAGGAGGAGGAGGAGGAGGAGGAGGGGGAGGCGGAGGAGGAGGAGGAAGGAGGAGGAGGGAAGGAGGGGAGGAGGAGGAGGAAGGGGAGGAGGGAGGAGACGGAGGGGAAGGAGGGAGGCGGAGGGGAAGGAGGAGGAGGAGGCGGAGGGGGAGGAGCAGGAGGAGGAGGAGAAGGGAGGAGGAGGAGGAGGAGAAAGGAGGGAGGAGGGGGGAGGAGGAGGAGGAGAGGAGGAGGAGGAGGAGGAGGAGGAGGAGGAAGAGGAGGAGGAGGAGGAGGAGGAGGAGGAGGAGAAAAGGACGAGGAGGAGGAAGAGGAGGAGGAGGAGGAGAGGAGGACGGGTCGCCTAAGGCCTCCGGAGAAACCCTCCACCGGGGTGCTCCTCGATGGCCCTCGCCGAAACAAATGCATGCGCTCGAGCGATGCCGAGAGAGTAAGGATCAGCAGCGGCAGCAGCCGAGGCAGCGGCACCAGCACCAGCGGCAGCGGCACCAGAGAGAAACTGCGGGGCGCTGGGGCGCCAGGGGCGGCGGCACGGCGTGCGGGGCAAAGACCGCCGGCGGCAGCGGAGGCGGGGGCGGGCCGCACACCGCGCCTCCCACTGCGTCGCCTCGTACTTCCCCCGGTCGAAGCCGCGGCAGACCATGTAGAAGGAGACGTCGGCCTGCACTGCTGGCCGTCGTCATCCTCCTCCTCCTTCTCCTCCTCCTCCTTCTCCTCCTCCTCCTTCTCCTTCTCCCCCTCCTCCTCCTCCTCCTCCTCCTCCTCTTCCTCTTCCGCCTCCTGCTCTTAGCCCTGCTCCTCTTCTCTCCTCCTCCTCCTCCTCCTCCTCCTCCTCCTCTCCCCTCCTCCTCATCCCCCTCCTCCCCCTCCTCCTCCTCCTCTTCCTCCTCCACCTCCTCCTCCTCCTCCTCCTCCTCCTCCTCCCTCCCTCCTCCTCCCCTCCTCCTCCCTCCTCCTCTTCTCCTCCCTCCTCCTCCCTCCTTCTCCTCCTCCTCCTCCTCTTTTCTCCTCCTCCATCTCCTCCTCCTCCTCCGCCTCCTCCTCCTCCTCCTCCGCCTCCGCCTCCGCCTCCGCCTCTGCCTCCGCCTCCGCCTCCGCCTCCGCCCGCCTCCTCCTCCTCCTCCTCCTCCTCCTCCTCCTCCTCCTCCTCCTCCTCCTCCTCCCCCTTCCCCTCTCACTCCCCCTCTCCCTCCCCCTCCTCTTCCCAACTGCAAGCTCGACGGTCAAGGTTTAGGGCCCTCAGGGTGCCCGACCATCTGATCCAGGCGGAGGTATCAAGTCTCTGCGGAGAGGGCGGGTGCGCACGCGAAGACGCGCAAGAGGCTGGCCTAGTTTTGCTTTGCTCTGTCGTTCGGACTCGCCTATTCTGGATGGTCGAATGGTGAGGCGAGCAGGGCCTTCATGTTGGCCCGTGCTCCTGTCCCTGGCAATTTCACGACTAGTCATCCGCTGGTTCTCTTGCTCGGTGAACAGAGCGGGGTATACACAGAAACGTTCGAAGATCCGCGCGGAGTTCTTGGGCCAACGCTGGGCCGCCCACGTACAATAAGACGCCGGTCTGCACGGTGGGCCCCCCCCAAAAAACAAAACGAACACACATCTCCGCCCCAGGGTACATGGGGGACGGGAAGCGGCAGGAATGGGGGATGGAAGGAGGAGGGATCGATCGATCGAGCTGTGTGGGGCCGATGTCAGGGGTGACTCCTCCTCTGAGCAAGAGCAGCGTGGCTGCACGCAAAAACAAATTTAGCTCGGCCTAGCTGTGGCCTCTTGGTGTACTGGAGGAAGAGGGAAGGGGGTGGAGGAGGAGGAGGAGGAGGAGGAGGAGGAGGAGGAGGAGGGGGAGGAGGAGGAGGAGGAGGAGGAGGGAGGACGCGGGGCGCTGTCTCTTCAAACGAGGTCCCAGCACCATAGGACGGCTGGGAACAGTACCACTCTCTGGCCCAGACGTCCGACGGCTGGGGCGCATCTCGAGCGCAGACACCTGCGGCGCCGCGGGGACTGTCGATGCGGGGCCCCGGGCCTCCGCCTCGGCCTCCTCGAAGAGTCGGGCGCTCGTTGCGGCTGGCGTCGCAGAGATAGCTTGCAGCACCGATCCTCGAAACGCGCGATCCATCACCGATAACTGGAAGACTCGCGTGCAAATCTGCACCCGAGCGAGGGATCCTTCTGTGCTCGCTGTCCTCCTGCCAGGGCCCCCTCCGTGCACGCCGTTCCTAGGAGTGCGGGGTAGCGTTCAAGAACTGGGCCGGCGGCGCACATCGCACGCCATCTCTGCGGCGCCAAGCGTGAGGGGGGGGTGGAGCAATAAGTGAACGCGGGGTGAGGAGGCCAGAGCCTGTCGTGCACCTCTGGGGCCCGCGGTGGCGGTCTCGGGGCCGTCGAGGGCCACTTCCCTGCAATCCTCGATCCCACTTTACTTAGGTCGGGCATGTCCCCCTACAGGCGGATTTCGAGCGAAAAAACAAACAATGGTCAAACTACATACTCCAAAGTTGTCCAAACTAGTAGAAAGGAATATCGTCCCCAGACTATTGTTGGACTATTCTTGAATATTCCTCCAGTAGAAGAACGCGCCCGACTTCTGGTAGGTTCGCGCGGCGTCGGCACGCGTGCACGCACGCACGCACGCACGCACGCACGCACGCACGCACCCCCCCCCCCCACACACACACACACACACACACACACACACACAACACACACACACACACACACAATATATAATATATACACACATGCGTGTGCATGCACGCACGCACGCACGCACCCATGCACCCACACACACACACACACACACCCACACCCACACCCACACCCACACACCCACACCCAGACCCACACACCCACACCCACACTCACACCCACACCCACACCCACGCCCACACCCACACCCACACCCACACCCACACCCAGAGCCGCACGCGCACGAGCACGCGCGCACGCACGCGCACGCGCACGCACACGCGCGCACGCACGCACGCACGCACACAAGCGCGCACACACACACACACACACACACACACACACACACACGCACACGCGCACACACACACGCACGCGCGCGCGCACTCGCACGCACGCGCACGCACCCACACACACACAAACACACACACACACACACACACTGTCACACACACAGACACACACACACACTCACACACACTTTCACACACACACACACACACACGTTCACACACACAAGAAACACACACATGCTCGGTCGAACCTGGTGCACGTACTCGCTCTTGAACGGCGTCATCTTGCCGAAGAGCGACTTCAGCACGCTGAAGAGCCAGTGCCTCCAGAGGCGGCGGGAGAGCAAAACCAGACGGACCGACTGCCAGCATCGTCCCACGGCGCACCCCGCGCACCGCCTGCGCTCCCCACGCGGTTTTATCCTAACCTCGCCGTCGTCGACCCCCTCCTCCTCCTCCTCCTCCTCCTCTCCTCCTCCTCCTCCTCCTCCTCCTCCTCCTCCTCCGTCTTCATCAAAATCATCCTCATCCCCTCTCCTCATCTCTCTTCCTCCTCCTCCTCCTCCTCCTCCTCAACCTCCTCCTCCTCCTCATCATCATCACCTCCTCATTCTCCTCCTCCTCCTCCTCAACCTCCTCAACCTCCTCCTCTTGCCGTTGTTCTGTCTGGCTCGGGGTCGGCCCGAGTGGTGACACTCGGCCGCGGGGCTATCGGGGGGCCAGCAACTCCTAGTCATCTGTGTGATAGCGATAGTCCTGCGAAATTTCTCCTCCTCCTCCTCATCCTCCTGTTCCTGCTTCTCATCCTCCTACTCTCAAGCGCTCCTGTCCGTACTCTTCATGATGCAGGATGGCGACCAAGGCAATGGGGGCGCTTAGAGAACAGTTCCTGCCACGGGGAACCCAATAAGAGCAAACTGTCAAACAAAGACCATGGTGACGACGATGCCCACGAAACGGCAAGGGCCTGACCAGCCAACTGTGCTTCGCGAGGGCCGCTGCTGCGTGACGAGCACCCCTCCCGGACATTTCTCACTCGCCGTCCTGCACTCCTCCTCCTCCTCCTCCTCCTCCGTCCTCGTCCTCGTCCTCGTCGTCCTCCTCCTCCTCCTCATCATCCTCCCCGGCCGCTTGCCTCCGCCGGCACGTCGCCGCCGCCAGAGGCGAGGGCCCTCTTGGAGCGCGCCGCACAGCAGGCCTGCCCTCTGCCGTGCCCTCGGAGAGGGGGCCGCATGCGAACCCTACCCCTAACCCCACGACTTCTGAGGGGGAGGGTGGGGTTCACTTCGTTCGGGAGCTCCCAAACGAAGTGAACCCCACCCTCCCCCTCAGAAATCGTGGGGGGTAGGGGTAGGGTTCGCATGCGGCCCCCTACTCGGAGAGGAGGTCGTGGGCCTGCCGCTCGGAGGCGACGATAGGGGCGAACAGCCCAGGGGGGAGCAATACATGAATTCAGGTGCGCCGGTGATCCATGTCTTCGAGAAGACTCCCGGGCGAATGCGTGCAATGCCCGCCCCTGGGCCGTTCGCCCCTATCGTCGTCGCCGGGCCGCGAGCCTTCGAGAGGGGCCCGGCGAGGCGGCCCCGCGAGCCCCTGGACCCGTAGTGTGCCAGGTGGGGAACCCGACGCAGGCGCAACATCAGCAACACGCCTCGAGCAGAGCGTTGTGGTTGCGTACGCGAAGGGATCTTGCTATAACGAATCCAAGAGACCCCGAAACTCCACTCGGTGCCCAGCGTGGCTGGGAAACAAGAAATCTCCGTCGGGCACCCGCTGGCGGGCTGCTTTTCACTTGGCGTGCGTACTATGTTTGCGGCAAGCGCGCCAAGAGAGGATGGGAGATTCTATGAATGCAAGGGGGGGTCCCAGAGGGAACAGGAGGCTTCTGAGAGGTTATGCTGCATCTTCGGGGGAGGGGGAGGCCTTGTCTGTCCCGTGGCTCCGCTATCCACGTCGAGCCCCCCTTCAAATCCATGTCGAACTCGTCGCATCTGCGTCGAATCCACATCCAATCTGCGTTGAACCCGCTGCAAATCCGCGTCGAATCCACATCGAACCCGGGACGGGCACAAGAGAAACAATGTTGAGGACAAACGAGGTCCACCGAAGCGAAGATGCAACGTAATAGAAGGCTTTTTGGAGGACGGGAGGGCCTGTGAGAAGACTCCTAGCTCGGCCCCGTCCTCGCGAAGGTCTTCACGCCTCGTTCGCTGCTGCCGCGCCCCGAGCTTGCGTCGTCCAGACTCTTCTGACCACCTACCAGACCACCCCAGCCCAGCCCGAGGACCCGAATCCCGGGTTGGGGGGGGGGGGGCACGGGTTCCACATGTGTTTTTCCAAGGTTCTTCGACCCCCCCCCCACTGGAAATGGAAGGCAAATGGAGGCCCTCGGGTTGGCTTGGGGTGGCTTGATGGGTGGTGATCGTCCTCCTGCGCTAGACTCGGGTCGGGCGAAAGGGGGGGATAGCAAAGGGGGGGTTTGAGAATCAGCTCACGTAGCTGATTCTCCCGGCGCCTCTCGGCGCCGGAGGCGGCCATGTATCGAGGAATGGGCCCCTCGGTGAAGCCGAAACCAGCTGCATGCCGCAAATTTCGTAACCCCCCCTTTCCCAATCCCCCCCTTTCGCCCGGCCCGATAGACCTCGGCAAGCTCTGCGACGGCGGGACGGCCCTGACGAGGCGGGCTGCGGCGACGGGGCGCCACCGCCACGAGGCCCCGGACGCGGCCCGCGCCCGCGGGGCGGCCTGCCTGCACGCCGTCGCGGCGAAGCCGCCTCCCGGAGGCCAGCCCTCTCGGGGGAGACCCGTCGGAGATCCGCCCTGACGTCGACGGTCGGAGCCAGGCATCAACCCGGACTTCGCTCGGGCGTGTCCCCCTGCAGGCAAATTCTGGGCGAAGACTACCAAACGGTCGAGAAGTATGCAAAAAAGGCAAGCAGGGGTCGAAACATCGTCCCCTGACTAGTTTTGTTCCTAGTTTTGAGCACTCCTCCTGTAGAGGGACAGGCCCGACTTCGGTCGGGCGTGTTCCCCTACAGGCGGATTCTGTGCGAAGACTAAAAAACGAGTCAAGAAGTACTCAAAAATGGCAAGCGATGGTGGACAAATCGTCCCCTGACTATTTCTGTTCCTATGTTTGAACTTTCCGCCTGTAAAACAAGGCTAAGATCGGGATAAATCGCTCCAGAGCGTTCCGGAGCGCTCTCAGAGCGTCCCGGAACGCTCTGGAGCGGCCGCGGCGCCTAATACATCCTCCAAACCCGCCGACTCTCAGAGACTTCGAGTTATACCGATCCGATTTTGTCCCGACCTTCGCGTCGTTTGAGCCTGCAGAGGGGCAGGCCCGACTGAAACCTGGACTGTCGGAGCTCCACTCTGCTCTGCAGGGGCCGGCGCTGGGCGCCCCTCGCCGGCGCGCGAGAAGCTCAGGCCCACCGCCGCTGCGGGGAGGCTGCGCAGAACCGCCGCCGAGCTCGTGGCGGCGCAGCCTCTGCTCCTCGCCTCTCTCCCGCCGTGGGGCCTCAGGCCTCCTTCGCCATGGCCTCGGCCATGTCGCGGAACGAGGGCGCGTCGGGGCGGTTCACCCCGAGGGCCTGCAGCGCCTCGTTGCGGCGCAGGTACTCCAGTGCCCTCTTCCGGTCGTTGCTCAGCAGGTGGAAGTCCGCCACCTTGCCCCCCCCTGGCACAAATGCACAAATGAGGCGTGGTAGGATGCCAAATTCTGTCTGGTGGGTTCCCAGATCCTTCCAAAGGACACCCCCCCCTCCTCACGCTTCGCTGCGTGCATCGACCCCCCCCCCCCCCCTCCGAAGCCCCCCCCCCCCGAAGCCACCCTTCCGTACAGAGCACGATCGGTCCAAGCTCCCGAGGCCAGCTTCTTCAAGGGCTCCTAAGTTCGCGCTTCGCGCTGCGCGAAGCGCGAATAACTTCGCGCTCTCGCGCCGCCCCCCAAGGGGGAGAAGAGGAGGACGAGGAGGAGGGGGAGGAGGAACGAGGACCGCGAAGCGCGAAGCGCGAATAACTTCGCGCCCTCGGGGGAGCCCTTGCTTGCAGAGGCAGAAGATCCGTGCTCCCGAGCTTCCAAGACGGCCCAGGCAGGCCACCGAATTGGCCAAGATGGCCGCCAGCCGGCCCGAGGTGGCCTCAGGGTGGTCTGAGCGGCCACCAAGACGGCCCAAGAGGGCGACTAGAGGATCTCCCGTGGGGCCAGAAGAGGCCAACACCATTGACTGTCCGACCGTGCTTCGGCGAGCTGGGCGGCCTCACACTTTCAGACTTGCTTCAGATCCACACGTCCATACGGGCTTTCAAGATGGCCTCACGACGGCGCCAGAAGCCCCTCAATTGGCCCAATGATTCTCCGAGACGGCCTTAAGACAGCCCTGCAAACTGGCACAAAATGGCCTCCAGAGGGACGCAAGACTCTGTAGACAGCCAAGATGGCCCGAAGACGGCCAACGAGAGCTTCAAGAGGGCCCAAGAAGGCCCTCAGACGGCCTAAGAGGGCCCCAAAGGACCAGAAAACTGCCTCACAGGAGCCCAAGGCAGCAACAACACAGCCCACATGAGTCCCATGAGAGCCCCTCGAGAAATCAGGACGAAAGGTGTCACATGTGACGGCCGTCCTCTCCATCTGGCGGCCCCTTCACATGTTACAGCCTCATGTGCACCCCTCTAGCAGTCGTTTCCTAGGGTGTGTGGCTGCCACGGTGAAGGGACTTGCCGCAGGCAGCTGGATATGACAGCAACATGTTCGCGAACAGATTGCGCGGGCAACGCTCCAGGTGTGGCTTGAACTCCCGCAGCGCAGGCAGAATGTCTTTGGCCCCGAACTTTCTCATCATTTCGAAAACTGCTTTCTGCCCATGGACAAAGAGGGGATCGGCTTGGGCCACGTCGCTGATGATGCCGAACGCCTCCTCCACCTTCTCGGCATCCCTCAGGGCCTCGAATAGATCGATCTTCGATTCAATGTTGCTAGGCAACAACTTCGCAGCCATCCTCGCGTAGCCCACGCGGTGCTTCGTGTCATTCGCCTCCCTGAACTTGTTTGTGGCCTTCATCGACTTATTCGAGAAGCCGTCGTGTTGAGCACTCAATGCTACGGAATCCGCCAGATTGAGCACGGCGTGGTACCACCCCTCTGGTATGTATAACACGTCTCCTGGCTCCTGAATGCATTCCAGAGGCGCTCGATCGGCTGAAAGGTTGGGATACACGACTGTGAGCCAGTCATAGACTGGCCAATCGCCCTTCATGCCTCCGGGCGGGTTCCCATCCGGCGGGTAGAGCAGCCAGCGCTTCCTACCATACAGCGTGGCTTGGATCGCAGCCGCGTGCCGATGGAACCCAACCCCGCTCCCTGCTGCGCCTACCAGAACGATTGCCACCTGTGCGTCGTCCCTGGCGAAGGACTTGTTGCTCCAGGACCTGATGAACTCGTGCACGGGGACGACCGCGCCGAGCGCCCGGGCCAGGGGCTCGTGGCGCCCGAACATGTAAGGCCGCTCGAGAGCGGCGTCCCCGTCGCGGCGGTCTTGGTGCATGAGGCGGCGCAGGTAGTCCTCCAGCTTGACCCGGCTGGGCCCCGCCCCGCTGCTCAGCACGATGTCCCAGGAGCATCGGGCGCGCCGCAGGGGGTGGGGCAGAGCACCGTGGCCCGAGGCACGTGCGCGGACGAGGAAAGGGGGGGGGCAGGGGACGCGCGGAAGGACGTGCTAGTACTACGCACTCCACTTGGAGGCGCCCGTCAGAACCGCACAGGGAGTACTTTAGTAGTGCACGCGGGCGGTATAGATGGCCAGGCCGCGACCGCAACCGAGCATACACTGCAGTAGTTCTGAGCGCGCGCGTCGACCCAGGTGGGCGACGCACATACAGTCACGTACTAGATGTGCGTCGGCCACGTGCTCAAGCTTCCTCATGAGAGTGAGGGGGCCGAACGGTCATTCACTGTCCCTGGGCGCGTGGCTGAAATGGGGTTCAGCGGTGAGGACTATTGCCGCGTAACTTGTTGTTGGTTGCTGTTGTCGTCGTCCCACCCGCTACCCGGCCCGCGACCAGCCCGCGACCCGCCCGCGACCCAGTTCGCGACCCACCCGACATTGCTTTAACGAACAAATCGGCGCCTGCGGTGGGCTCGTTGTAGAAGTTATAAATCAGGCGCCTGCGGCGGGCTTCTCCAGAGCCTCGCAGACTGCCGACGATCCCGTCGCCCCCCTCACTCCCATCCGCAACTGCGGGGGTTAACGTAGATTCTTTCATCGGCAGATGACTACGGCGGAGGCCAGTCCACAAGAAACCTTCCACAAGAAACCCAACCCTGAGACCCCAGGACGTCCATTGACTCTTGCTGGGGGAACGTCACGCCTTCCATAATTTGAAAACCAATCGGTACCCAAGAAACCCAGGGCACCCTGGAGGCTTGCAGGGTCTTTCTTGGCAAGGGCTTCCACTGTACTGACACGATGTTATACTATCAAGATCGAGTCAGATAGAGTGCTGCCGATGGAGGAAAGAAAAATGGGGCCACGACATCCGGGAGATATCCTGGCCCCGGCCATGAACAATCCATACCGCCTGTGCCCTCGCCCCCGCGTGGACGCCCCCGAGAGTAGCCCACGTCCGCCTCCAGCTCCTGTCGGGGAGACGTCAGACTCCAGAATGGGGGACTCGGCTTGGCCTGACGGGGCCCAATCTGAAATTTGACGCCAGCTCCCGCTGCAAGCGTCCCACGAAAACTGGACCGTCGAAACCCCCGAGACCCGCTCGTCAGAAAAGAGCCGGCAGACCCGAGCTCCGGCCTACTCGGGCCGTATAAGCTTCCCCGATCCTGCAGCTCCGCCGCCCTCAGCAGGCTCTGCCTCTCGAAGCGCGCCTGCTGGCCTGAGGGCGACCATCGGGCCGGGCGAAAGGGGGGGATAGCAAAGTGGGGGGTTCGAGAATCAGCTCCCGTAGCTGATTTCCCCGGCGCCTCCCGGCGCTGGAGGCGGCCATGTCTCGAAGAATGGGCTCGGCGGTGGGGCTGAAACCAGCTGCGTGCAGCAGATTTCGTAACCCCCCCTTCCCCTGTCCCCCCCCTTTCGCTCGGCCCGAGACCAGCTCAAAGGGGAGGCCTCGGCCAGGAAGCGGCGACGCCCTGGCAGCCCCCCCGTCGTGCCAGTGCAGCGGGGGAGGCTCTGGGCAGCGCGGGCCCGCAAGGGGGGGGGCCCTGCCGGGGCCGCCGGGTCGTCGAGGGACAGACTCGGGGCGAGAGGCCGGTCCAGCGGGCCGTTCGTCCTGGCCTCTGGGGAGCAACGCTGCGGAAGCGCCACGACGTAGTGGGTCAGGCTGTCTGGGCGGGGGCGGGGGGGGGGAACAGGGACCTGGAATCGGCGATGCAGCGCGCCGATGCGAGGGCACAGAATCAGCTCCGCGCGGCGCGCTTAGCGCGAATCGACGAGCGCGCTCCACTACTCGCAAAGTAACTACTCGCAAATGGCCTGGTCCCCCCCCACGGAGGATCTATGATACGTCCAACCGAAGCAGACAGGTGTTTCTTCGGACGTTTGCGAGTAGGCACTTTGCGAGTAGTGGAACGCGCTCGGCGAGCGAAGCGCGCAGCCCGAGACAAACTCTGCGCCCTCGCGCCGCCCAGAGAAACGGAGGAGAGGAGGAGGAGGAGGAGGAGGAGGAGGAGGAGGAGGAGGAGGAGGAGGAGGAGGGGGAGGAGGGGGAGGAGGAGGAGGAGGAGCCGAACAGCGGAGCGCGAGTCATGGCTTCGTGCCCTCGGGGGCGCCCTGGCCGCTGGATCGGCCACGGGCCCTCGGCGGCGACACCGCATACGCGCTTCTGCGGGGGGGCCGCCCTTCGGCGAGGAGCGGGCGCTCGAGGGCCGCGGCTTCCCCAGACGTCCGCCGCCGCGACGTCGTGCGATGTGGCTCCCCAGATTTGGGTGTCCCTCCACAGGAGGAACATGCAAAAATAGTACAAAAATAGTCTGGGAACGAGTTGTTGGCATTCTTGACTATTTGGGAATATGTTTGGTGTATGTTTATTGTTCGTCCAAAATCCGCCTGTGGGGGGACACGCCCGACTTAACCCCAGATGTCTGGACCAGGGATGGCCCCAAACAGTGCTTCTCGATTCTCGCTCTGTCTTCGATTCCCCTCGTTTTGTCTTCCATCCGCCTGCGCTGCCAGACGAGATAGAAACAAAAGCTGCCCACGAGATCGCCAGAGCACCGCTGATGCCGACCCCTGGTCCGGACCCCATCACGGGAACTGGCACCTCCTCCTGAGCCGCTTTGATGGTCCCAGGGCCGGGCGAGGGACGTCAAGGAGACGGACAGCTGCACAAAACCTCCCGTCGTATTTTCGTTCACGACACGAGGATGTCAAACTTTCGGGCCATGACTCGGTGATCTGGCGGGCGATCGGGACGATCTGGGCACCCCTGGCACGCTCTCGACGAGGCGCAACTGCTGGATGGCACACCGAGGCGAGAACACCCGCAAGGAACCTGCAAACACTTCAGAGCTCGTCATGTCGCAAATCGGCACCCGGACCCATCCAGTGGTGCGTGCTGGTCAGAGCTTCAAGGGGAATCCAGCCGTGGCGACGATCGCCCCAACAGCCCAAAAGCGTCCAAAAGCACAGCCTCGAACGATTGGGGGTCTGGGGCCCATCCCTCTTCGGGGAAAGGCGAGACTCGGGTGCGGGGGGCTCGGATCGGCCTGACGGGGCCGCCAGGAGAATGACGAGACCCAACCTGGCATTTGACGCGAGCTCCCGCGGCAAGCGTCCCACGACAACTGGACCATCAGAACCCAGGACGAGCCCTGGGGTACGCTGCCCGAGTCTGGCGTTTCCCCGACCTGTCCCTGCCGTTTCGCCCCCGCCAGCCCAGCACGCCGCGGTCGCCCCGCAGCACGAAGGGCCTGTGCGCCCAGGCCCGGTCCCCCAGCAGCTCCGCGGGGACGCCCTGCGCGTCGAAGCTGGGCACGTCGCAGAACTCGGCCGCGCCGCGCCGGGTGGCCCACGAGCTCTGCACAGCCTCTGGGGCGACGCCCAGGGAGCCCCGGCCTCCTGTTGCATCCTCGGGGAACCTCGTCTGTCCCGGCGCGGCCCTAATTATCCACCTCGAATCCATGTCGAATCCACGTCGGACTCGTCGGATGCGTGTCGAATCCGCGTCGAGTCCGCGTCGAATCCATGCCGAGTCCGCGTCGAGTCCGCATCAAGCCTGCGCCGGGCACAAGAAAGGGCGAGCAGGCCTGCGCGCGAGTCGACACCAATTCTGGGGACAGGCGAGGTCCCCCAGAGATGCAGCGTGACTGGCCCAGGGCTCCCCTCCAGGATCCCCCCCGGGAGGCCCAGCTGGCCTCCAGAGCAGCCCTCGCGAGGCCCCACCGGGCCCCGGCGGCTCCCACACGGCGCGGACCCCCGAGATCCCACGCGGCATCACGCCTTGCAACGCCACGAAGCATCGCGACCAGAACCCTGGGCACCATCTTTTCTTGCTGCATTGCCCCAGAGATCCGACGTCGTGATTCTTTCCATGCGGGGTCCCTGGAGGTCCCGGCCCCTTCCCTGGGACCGGCTTTTCATCCCGAGTCTTTTTGTTGACGGTCCTGTGGCCCTGTGAAGGCCCCTTCGGGGATGGACAGACCCCCCTTTAGCAAAACATGGTTTAGTGAAAACGCCCTGAGGCCCAAACCTGGCGGGCGCAAGCCTGGAAAATGACGGCCACGGCGCCCTCTCGAGAACCGAAAACGGACAATTCGCTAATCGACGTGTCACTGTTGGGGGTTCTGTCCACCCCCGACCCCTATAGAGGCCGGAAAGGGCGGAAAAAACCTCCGTCTTGATTTTTTCAATGCGTTGGATCTCGGTCTCGGCCCCTTCCCCGCGACCGGCTTTTCATCCCGAGTCTCTTTTTGTTGACGGCCCTGTGGCCCGGTGAGGGTCCCTATAGAGGCCGAGAAGGGCGAAAAAACCTCCGTTTTGATTTTTGTCAACGCGAGCTGGATCTCTGGGCTCTCCGAGCTGGATCGGTCTGCGGTGGTCCCGGGAGGCCCCGACGCCGGGCGAAAAAGCGCTCGGTGTCCAAAGATCTCCACGCCTATAGATCTCGGGGGGCGACGCCCTCTCCTCTGCTATAGCGTTGAGTCGGGCCTGTCCCCCCACGGGGGGATTGTCGAAACATGGGACATGAAAAAAAAATGCCCCGAAATGGCTAACAAATGCTCAAAAAGTCGTCCCGGTACTATTTTGGGACTATTTTTGAATATTCCTCCTGTAGAGGGACGTGCCCGACTTAATCCTAACGTTGCCCCCTGGTTTTCGGGTCATGACTCGGCTCTCCGGCGGCGGCCAGGGACGATCCCGGCACCCCCGGAAAGGCCTCGGCGAGGCGCAGCTGCTGATGAGCAGCCCGAGCCTGAGAGACCGCCGAGGACCGGCGAAAACGCCCGACGCAACCACTTCGAGCAAACTCGTGGGCCAGGACCACTTCTGGCAACGCCCGACGCCTCGGAGCTGAAGCACCCCCACCCCCCGCAGCTGCT